TCCCCTGTCCTCTGTCCTCTGTCCTCTGTCCTCTGTCCTCTGTCCCCTGTCCTCTGTCCTCTGTCCCCTGTCCTCTGTCCTCTGTCCCCTGTCCTCTGTACTCTGACCTCTGTCCCCTGTCCTCTGTCCTCTGTACTCTGACCTCTGTCCTCTGTCCTCTGTCCTCTGTACTCTGACCTCTGTCCCCTGTCCTCTGTCCTCTGTACTCTGACCTCTGTCCTCTGTCCTCTGTCCTCTGTCCTGTCCTCTGTCCTCTGTCCTCTGTCCTCTGTCCTCTGTCCACTGCCCTTTTTCCCATCTGAGAGGACAGCAGGATTCTGAGACTCAAACAAACACTTAGATTCACTCCTTCAGATGAAGAACATCCTGCAGCTGGTCCAGGTGTGTGTGTGGACACGGTGTGTGTGGACACCAGGTGTGTGTCTGGACCAGGTGTGTTTGGTCCAGGTGTGTGTTTACCAGGTGTGTGTGTGGACCAGGTGTGTATGGACCAGGTGTGTGTGTGGACCAGGTGTGTGTGGACCAGGTGTGTGTGTGGACCAGGTGTGTGTGTGCACCAGGTGTGTGTGTCTGGAACAGGTGTGTGTGGACCAGGTGTGTGAGGACCAGATGTGTATTTACCAGGTGTGTGTGGACCAGGTGTGTGTGGACCAGGTGTGTGTTTACCAGGTGTGTGTGTGGACCAGGTGTGTATGGACCAGGTGTGTGTGTGGACCAGGTGTGTGTGTGCACCAGGTGTGTGTGTCTGGACCAGGTGTGTGTGGACCAGGTGTGTGTGGACCAGATGTGTATTTACCAGGTGTGTGTCTGGATCAAATGTGTGTGGACCAGTTATGTGTCTGGACAAGGTGTGTGTGGACCAGGTGTGTGTCTGGACCAGGTGTGTGTTTACCAGGTGTGTGTGGACCAGGTGTGTGTCTGGACCAGGTATGTGTGTACCAGGTGTGTGTCTGGACCAGGTGAGTGTCTGGACCAGGTGTGTGTGGACCAGGTATGTTTGGACCAGGTGTGTGTGGACCAGGTGTGTGTCTGGACCAGGTGTGTGTGTGGACCAGGNGGACCAAAGGAGACCTGATGGATCAGGATCATGGAGTCAGACCAAAGGAGACCTGAAGAACTTTTCCAGCTCTCGTGGTTCTTTGTCAAAACAAACGAATCTGTGGCAGAAGGTTAGAAGAGTTTGATCCTGAGCGTCACAGTGAGACGTTCAGACACAAAGACCACAAGACCTTCAGAGACACAAACACACACATTGAGAGACAACCGTCCACAGAGCAGAGAAGCACAGCAGACTGAGTTGTTGAGCAAACATCTTTATTAATAAAGTCAGGATCTGTCCTCACACAGGAGCTGATCTAAACATGCAGAGCAGAAGCTAACGTCACTAAATCAACCAATCAGGAGGTTTTATTTAAGCTAACAGGTCTGATCCATGTGTCTGGAATAAATGATTATTTTAAAAAGAAAGTTTGTATTTTTGTTTCACTTCAAGCAAGATTAAAACTTTTAACCAACTTGTTCAGAGATAAAGAAGCTTTATTTGATTATGAGCAACTTGTTTGTAAATTTTAGTTTTTTTTTAGGACAATAAAGATAAAATAAAGCCCCGCAGGAAACTACAAGCTACAGATCGAAGCGTAGCGTCAGCTAACAGCTCGTTTAACGCCGCCGCCACGCATTTTGTATGTTGCTCAGCGACGCACGGTCGTCCAGCCGTCGTCGTCCGTCTCGTTCTTGGTGCGACGAGGGGTTTCCTTATCCGTACGCCAGGCGCTCTTCTCCGCGTCTGCGTCGCGCTCTCGTTCCCGCTCTTTGGGCCGGTCCCGCTCCTCTCGCCTTTCCTCACCGCTGCGGCGCCAGGAGCCACCTGAAGAAACRAGACGTTGGTGAGAATAAAGGAGGAGTTCAACATGGATAAATATCCATTGTTACGCCGATGATACTCTTGTATTTATCCAACATACAAAAACCTGATGACCCGTTTATTCTTCGTGGTTTTTGGACCTGAACATCTTAGGACTGATTGACAGATTGACGGTGTTCACAGCCTTCACACCGTCAATCTGTCAATCACATCTCGGTCTAASTCCGCCCACAAAGTAAGACACCTCTACTCGTAAAATCACTAAAATAAACAGACTTGTGTTGTTTACCTTCATCGTTGTCTCTGGGTGGGCCTCTGACTTCGCGGTCGTCACGGCGGTCTCGGTCTCGGCGCTCGACGCGACGGTCATTGTGGTCTCTGCGGTCTTCACGGTCGCTGCGGTCCTGGTCCTCTTTGCGTGAATCTCTCCAGCCTCCGTCGTCGGTGCCCCCTCTCCTCCAGCTGCTCTCCTCTCTGAGGACACRGATCCGGTTCATCAGAAAACTCGTCGGGATTAAAAACTAGATTCAGATTGGAGGTGGACCCACCTCTGTGGACGGCTGTCTCTGAAACTGGACCTTTCGTCCCCTTCATCTTCATCTCCATCTTCGTGAGTCCCACCACGAGGAGGTCCCCAGCTCTCCTCTCGAGCCTTTTCCCGCTCTCTCCAGCCACCTGCAAGACCACAAGACCAGGCTGAGACCACAAGACCAGGCTGAGACCACAAGACCAGACTGAGACCTCTCGACCAGACAGAGGCCTAAAGTCTGGACTGAGATCTAGGAAACCACTTGCTTGGTCTGTTTACACTCACGTTTTATGGTTAAGTGCAAAACTGAGACTTAAAAAAACAACCACAACCTAAAGTCCCAACCATGACCTAAAGACCTGACTATGGTCTAAAGACCCGACCACGACCTAAAGACCTGAATACGACCTAAAGTCCTGACCATGATATAAAGACCCGACCACGACCTAAAGTCCCGACCACGACCTAAAATCCCGACCACGACCTAAAGTCCTGACTATGATCTAAAGACCCGTTACGACCTAAAGTCCTGACTATATGATCTAAAGACCCGACCACGACCTAAAATCCCGACCACGACCTAAAGTCCTGACTATGATCTAAAGACCCGTTACGACCTAAAGTCCTGACTATATGATCTAAAGACCCGACCACGACCTAAAATCCCGACCACGACCTAAAGTCCTGACTATGATCTAAAGACCCGTTACGACCTAAAGTCCTGACTATATGATCTAAAGACCCGACCACGACCTAAAGACCTGAATACGATCTGAAGTCCTGACCATGATCTAAAGACCCGACCACGACCTAAAGTCCTGACTATGATCTAAAGACCCGACCATGACTTAAAGTACCGACTATGATCTGAAGACTCGACTATGAACTAAAGTCCCGGCCATGAACTAAAGTCCCAGCCATGACCTAAAGACCTGCCTACGAACTAAAGACCTGACTAAGAACTAAAGACCTGCCTACGACCTAAACACCCGACTATGACCTAAAGACCCGACTGAGACCTGAAGACCAGACTACGACCTAAAGTCCAAATGGAGACCTAAAGACCAGATTGAGACCTAAAGTCCTGACTGAGACCTAAAGTCCTGACTGAGACCTAAAGACCTGCTTATGACCTGAAGACCTGCTTATGACCTGAAGACCACACTATTACCTAAAGTCCAAATGGAGGTCTAAAGAACAGATTGAGACCTAAAGACCAGATTGATACCTAAAGACCAGATTGAGATCTAAAGACCCAAACTGCTCCCTTTCAAAAACTGTTACGTTATTAAAAAAAAAAAAAAGAAGCCACTAACCAGGTCTACCGAGGGGCTTCCAGGGTTTGGCGTCATCCCCTCCATGGCGTGGACCATCATCTGCACCTCTCCTGCTGACTCTGTCATCATCTCCTCCTCTTCTAGGACCCCAGTCATCATCAGCCCCTCGCCTGGAGGACCTGGACTCATCCAGACCTCTACGAGGACCCCTGTCATCATCGAAACCACGTCTGGAACCACGATCGTCATCGAAGCCACGTCTTGGTCCACGGTCATCGTCAAAACCACGTCTTGGACCGCGATCATCGTCGAAGCCACGCCTTGGACCACGATCATCGTCAAAACCTCGCCTGGGACCACGATCGTCGTCAAAACCTCGCCTGGGANTCGTCAAAACCTCGCCTGGGACCACGATCGTCGTCAAAACCTCGCCTGGGACCACGATCATCGTCAAAAGCTCGCCTTGGACCACGATCGTCATCGCCGGCCCTCCTGGGGCCGCGGTCGTCATCGAACGCTCTGCGTGGTCCATGGTCGTCCTCCGGTCCTCTGCGCTGAGAACGCTCTTCTTCACCAGAGCGACGAGGACCCTGATCCTCATCAATACCTTGACGGGGTCCTTTGTCCTCCCCTCCTTTGAAGGAACCAGMCTTGTCCTCTCGCTCATCCTTTTGTCTCCAATCCCTGCAGACACAAAACTCAGAGTTTAAGACCCAGACTGGTTTCTGATCCTGAAACCTGAGCCCTCAAAACCTAAAAGATCTCATCTGCCAGAAACGTTACAACTAAAGTCCAGAACAATAAGTAGGGCTGGGCAATTAATCGGATTTTGATCTTAATTACGATTTGGGTTTTCAAMGATCATAAAAACATAGTGATCAAAGTTCACAGTTTACGGTTAAGCTGTTTTGTGTTGTGAATCCAGTGCCACTGCTAGCACGATGCTGCAGGCTCCTCACACTTTGTCTAATTTTTTCATAAATATTTGAAGTCCTGAGGGAAACATTGTTTAACAGCCATTGTTTCTGTTCAGTTAATTCATGTTATCAAAGTAAAAGAATAATTTTGTTAAATAATCTAGATCTCAATTTCAATCAAAACAATCGTGATTATAATTTTTCTAATAATCGAGCAGCCTTAACAGGAAGTGGTGTCAGATCTGTCCATACCTGTCAGGAACAGGACGACGCCATTCTGATTCCCCTCCTTCAGTGCGTTTCCTCCAGCCCCGGTCGTCCTTGTCCCCCCAGTCCTGAAAACCAAGAAGCACCTTTTGAGGACCACTGTCATCACACGGCAGGACAAAAATTATAACACTACAGAAACTGAACTTCCTGAGAAACAACGGGGGAAAAATAATAATAATAATAATAATAATAATTTGTATTAATTATTAAAACAGCTGTTTATTTCTTGAAACCTTGGGTTTCTCTTCCTGAGGAGCCCGTCTGTTCTCCTCGCGGAGGCGCTCCCGCTCCTCGATCTCCTGCTGACGGGCGCGCTGCTTCAGCTCCTGCTCCTCCAGTTTGCGCAGACGCTCCTTGTACTCGCGCTCCTCCTCCTCCTGTCGCTCCTGCTCGATGCGTTCTCTCTCCTCACGCTCTACGACAACAGAAAGAAAATAAAAAGAGACGCTGACATTCTGGGGGGCGTGGCTGTCTTTTCCCACGACATTTAAACGCAGCACAGCTCAGATCCTTTTTTAAATGTCTTCAGGTGATTTACTGATCGCTGTTTTTCAGAATCCAAACCTTTCTTGAGCTGCTCCTCGTGGATCCGCTGCCTCTCTTCCTCCTTCTGGCGGTAGAAAGCGTTACGCCGGTCCTCTTTGCGCTGCCTCTTTCGTTCCTCCAGGCGTTTCTTCCTCTCCTCCACCAGGCGCTCCTGGAAGGCTTTCAGCTTTTCCTGTGGAGACAGAAACGTCCTCTTCACGTCCAGCTCCTCAGACGTCTCCTGTCCCTCTGCGGGACGAACTCTACCTCGTATATGAAACTGCGAGCGGCGGTTATCTTGGACAGGAAGCCCTCTTTGTCCTCCACCATCCTGGACATTCGCTTCTTGTGCTCCAGAGCTTTCTCCCGCTCAACTTTCAGGTTGCTGATCTGAAAGAGGAAACATCCAGATGTAAGCCCCCCGGCCCATCAAAGAGTTTGTTTTGACATGTCCTGRACGCACCCTCTCCTCCTCCTGCAGCTCCCACAGCTCCATGTCTTTGACGCGCTGCTCCTCGTACGCCTTCTTGATGAGMGGAATCTCCTCCAGACGTTTGGCTCTCTCAAAGTAGTCGATCTGAGGAGAAACAATGACTTGTTCTTAATAAAACTGTGTGGAGTTCACAGATAATCAGATCACAGGGTTCCTACAGTTTAAGACGTTTTAATGCCAAATGAAATTAAATTTAAGACCAATTTCACAATAAACCAAATGACAAAAAATAAATAAATAAACAAACACTGTGTCAGAAACTCATGAATCGAAGTATTTTTTGTTGAAGAATGCAATTATTGTTAACAGACCAATTGTTTTATTCCTATCTAAGTGCTTTTTTTTATCAAATATAGCAAAAACCTTCTTAGCAGTCAGTTTTAAACTTCAATTAATTCCTGGAAATCCTCTAAGGAACTAAAGCTGTAGATGAAACCTTAAAGCACCAGTGATATCAAATGTTTGTAAGAAAAGTGAACGTATTTTTGGAAAGACAACAGGGGTGCCGATAGTTATCGGCCCGATATCAAAACAAACAGAACCGATTATATTTGTACGCGTTTACCAGCGCGGCTTTATTTTTATCCTTTTTGGTCAAGCTGTTTCCCGTCCGACACGACCCGCGCAACATTCAAGTTGCGTCAGAAAAAACAACTTTCTCACTAGAAAAATAATTTGAATACTCCATACTGAAAAACAACCAGTTATTTTAAGAATTATTAATATTATTTTACCAATTAACCCTGTAGGGTTACACACAAACTTTATAATTATAAACATCGGAACAACTACTCCCAGTTTGAGAACATGTAAAGTTTGTTACCTCCTGAATGCAACACAGAGTCTGTCTGCTAAAATGCTAACAACAACAAGCTAGCATTCAAGAACCCATCAGGACTTAAATCATTGCTGAGGCTTTCGACAAATCCAAAAAAAAAAAAAAATACCAGAGTGGACGCAGATCTCAAGAATTTAACGATGGAAATGATGACAAGTCGTTCACCCTCGCTAAAGACCGAAGCTTTTATCTCCTTGTTAGCCACGGTTCACCGCCGTTAGCCACGGTTCACCTCCGTTAGTCACGGTTTATCACCGTTAGCCACGGTTCACCGCCGTTAGCCACGGTTCACCGCCGTTAGCCACGGTTCACCGCCGTTAGCCACGGTTCACCTCCGTTAGTCACGGTTTATCACCGTTAGCCACGGTTCACCGCCGTTAGCCACGGTTTACTTGTGTTAGTGAATT